CGTGGGTGCCCGCCCAAATCTTACGGCTTCCACCCATGTGACTACATTTTGGGTTACCGTACCTTGCAGAACCACTGCAGGGTTCGCGGGGTTGTTTGCAAGGTGTTGCCAGGCATTGCAAGGTCTTAGCAGGTGTCTTCGCAGGGTCTTTTGCGCGCGGTCTTGGGAGGGTTTCTGCCGGGGCTTCGGCATGGTATCGCAAGGGTCTTTGCAAGGAGGGAAGGCACTCCCACCCCACGAGAGCTCAGTTCTTGGGACCCCCACGCTACAAATTCTGGCCCGAAACCAACCCACACCCACCACCACGCCCCCACCACGTCCCGGGACCCCCACCTCACGAGAGCTCAGTTCTTGGGACCCCCCACGCGACAAATTCTGGCCCGAGACCAACCCACACACACCCCACCAAGCCCCCACCACGTCATGGCCCCCCCACCCCACTAAGCTTTTGGGGCCCCCACACGACAAATTCTGGCCCGAAGCCAACCCACACACCCCACCACGCCCCCACCACGTCCCGGCACCCTCACCTCACAAGAGTTCAGTTCTGGGGTCCCCCCGCGCGACAAATTTTGACCCGAAGCGAACCCACACACCCCACCACGCCCCCACCACGTCCTGGCACCCCCACCTAACGTACGAGAGTTCAGTTCTTGGGACCCCCCACGCGACAAATTCTGGCCCGAAACGAACCCACACGCCCCCACCACGCCCTGGCACCCCCACCCCACGAGAGCTCAGTTCTTGGACCCCGCCACATGACAAACTCTGGCCCGAAACCAACGTACACACCACCAGGTCCGGGCCCCCCACCACACGAAAGCTCAGTTCTTGGGACCCCCCACGCGACAAATTCTGGCCCGAAGCCAACCCACACCCCACACTACGCCCCCACCACGTCCCGGCACCTCCACCTCACAAAAGCTCACTTCTTGGGACCCCACGCGCGACAAATTTTGACCCGAAGCCAACCCACACACCCCACCACGCCCCCACCACGCCCCGGCACCCCCACCCCACGAGAGCTCAATTCTTGGGCCCCCCCATGCAACAAAATTCTGGCCCGAAATCAACCCACACACCCCACCACGCCCCCACCAGAGCTCAGTTTTTGGGGCCGCCCACGCGACAAATTGTGGCCCGAAACCAACCCCCACACCCCCCACCACGCCTCCACCACGTCCCGGCACTCCCACCCCACGAGAGATCATATCTTTGGACATCTCACGCGACAAATTCTGGCCTGAAGCCAACCCACACACACCACCACGCCCCCACCAAGCCCCGGCACCCCCGCCTCTTGGGACCGCGACAAATTCTGGCCCGAAACCACTCACGCACCCCCACCACGCCCACACCACGTCCCGGCACCCCCACATCACGAGAGCTCAGTTCTTCACGACGACGGGATGCCATGCATTTCCAGAACCCCTGAGATCCGATTTTGCAACATCACCTCTCTGGCATTGGTCCGCCATGCCCTCCACAGCGTGTGCGCCGAGAATGTTTTCGTATGGCCACGCATGTTTGCACTCATTCGCATGGGCATTGCTCTCACCGCACCCTTCCTGATGTCCTCCACCACCGCCTTCTACAGCAAGCTCCGCACACTTGCATCCTCACTCCCGTCCTCTACATGGCCACCGTCGCCGGACCTCCTGCATGCTGAATTTGTCGTGTACATAATATGGAGTCCCTGGCATAAGCATTACTACGTTGGCAAGACGGTCGACTTCCAAGCCTGCGTGCGCCGACACCTACAGGGACTACTCTATCCAGGCAACTACAAGCCACAACCGCACATGCTCTTTCTCTCAGCTCTCTTTGGAGGCGACCTCCCAAAGGCTTCTTCATCGCTAATCTGTCCCGACCTCCCAGTTCAGACGTCTACTTGGTAACCCTTTGGTCCAGACCTCCCGCCTGCAGACCTTACCTGGTAACCCTTTGGTCTTAACTCGTGCAAACTCGTGCAAGCTCTGCAGGTTGTGATCGTCACCGGGACTCGGAGTCAAAACGGTGTATACGTTACTTGGCTTCCCACTCACAGGACCAGGCGCGGAGGTAGAGGGGCGGGGGGGGGAGGGAGGGGACACTCATAGAATTCAACAAAATCCCCACGAACCCGGCACAGTACGTGCAGTGCCGGGGGTGGCGGACCGTCTCCCCATCCTGCCATCAAAGGGGGATGCGAAGTCCCTGGAGACGGGACGGGGTGGGCATTGGCTGGCATCATAGCCGACCCACAATCAATGGAGGCATCAAAGCCTCTGACCATCATACTGTCTAGGCTGATCCACTCACGGATCCAACACCTCATCTTCTACTCAATTCATTCCATGCGTAGCATGCTCTCCCTGATTGGGCCGTGAACGGGACTCAGTCCCCTGCCGGCCGTCCAGTGCCTGTCATAGAATTCATAGAACTCATTGAATTCAAAGGGAATGGGAGGGCCTCGTTGCTCCTGCCTCCTGGCTCGTTCTTCGTTCTCTCCCCCTCCTGT